CGCTGAAGGTAGAGTCTGGGTAAGCCCGGTTTACATCAAGCTAGTTTTCCAAACAAAAATTAAAAGGTTTCAAGCATCAAAAAACCAATAATGAATTATTACGGATTGATCCAATCTTCTCGTCAATCTTTATCAAGAGCAGTTCCGTTCAAACAGGAATGGTTCTTCAGAACATAGGTTTCTTACGATCTAATCCCTACAGCCGGAGGCATAATAATAACAGATAACATTTGTATAGCGCAACTCCCCGCCCAACAGCAAACTCTAGGCGCTTCACAATCTATACTGTTACCTCGGCAGACCTGAGAACATTCTGAAGTAACCTCAACTTCCTAGGAAGTATATGTTTCAAGCGGTCATTTATAGGCGTTAAAACACTAACATACTGACAAGATCTTTTTCAGTCTATGGCCGGAACCCATTCCCACCTTCAACCTGGGTGAAGTGAGGAGGATTCGTGTAAAGTGCCTTTCCCAAGGACACCCCCGAACCCGCAAACTCATGATTACGAGTCCAGTAGTCTAACCACTAGGCCACCAACGCCACATGGCAAGGCTTTCTCTTACAACACTCAGTCATACATTATTTTCGCTTCAGGATGGAGGAAACAGGTGAGACCCTCAATATTATGGTAAACATAACTATAGTGCGGTCGAGAATTCGTGGCTTAGCTTTTTGTTAAATATTTCCTCACCCATCGAACACATACTCTGAAGCTTTTGGGCAATGACTTGCTTCAATTTGTCTTAAGCGGTCAACAATTTTGTAAACGCCTGTATAGCCGTATTCTAGAAAATTCCTTAATAAATACTTATTTAAAAATTTCAGTAAGCTAGGTGGTTTCTACAGATTTTAAAAGTTTACAGAAGGGACAGTATCACTTTTTAAAAGCAAGTCCGTCATTTTTTTCTGATCGCGACATTTTGCTTATTGAACGCATATTTTGAGAACCTTTAGTTTAAAAAAGTGTTCACTATAAAATCAATTTCTTAATTCAAGTTTTGCCACTAAAAATGTCTTTGGTGAGCTGTGACGTAGGCCGCATGCGTACGCAAAATGTTTGTGAGAAGCAGGAAGCGCTGTGAACAAAATGAATTTTCCGCATGAGGGAGATTTGTAGTATTTTATATAAATTTCCGAAGAAAAGTAGTTTTTTAAAAAAGTTTAGCCTCAATTATTGTGAAAAAAAAAGATTTAAGTTAAGACAAATTGATACAAACTGCTGTGCAAAGTATTGTTGACAGTGATTCCCCTGTAAACGATATTATAATATTTGAGGATAAGTTGCGACACGAATTTTTGACCGCACTACAAACTTAGATATGAAGTAGAGACCATGAAATAATGAGCCGTTGCAGGTTGTCACCCGGGCCGGCAGTTTGCGACATGTGAAGTAGACCCACCTAGCAGAGAGCCTGTGGTCATGTGTTTCTCCGTGCCGATCAGGACATAGAAGCAGACGAGGCAGACCACAGAGCCCACGAACACGAAGATGCCCATGAACAGGCCTTGACTGAAAGTGGAAGTTATGGCAAGGCGGACAAAGTTAGTTAACGCTGTCTAGATTGATTTTTTGTGGGGGGGG